GATGAACTAGATGAATGTTGAGAAGTTTGGTTTTTTTACAGATTTGATTTTTTTTCTTTAGAAGATTAGATGAGTTAAGTTAGGGTTATAAAAGAGTATAGTTAGTGAAATAATTAAAGGAGTAAGTTGGTTAAGTGAGGGCAGTTTGGTCATTTCAAACAAAAAACTTACCAAAAGAGGAAAAAAATCAGTTTGTTGCACATAATATATAGCACCTGTTTTTGGCAAATGTTGCAAATAACCGTTAACGGAGGTAGTATTATAAATAAAATAAAATTTCATTTATAAAATATTTACAAAAATACAGGGGATTACACATTGGTATTGGGTTAAGCAAGTTAGAGACCCATTTATGGGCCTCATGAGCAAGTATCTAATCATGAATTGGATTGGGCTAGCATAGTTAGATTGGAGTTAGATTTTCGGCTTTGTCATGGACTCTTATTTAGAGATGAGATCTATAAATAAGATCCATGCCTAGGGTTGATTAATTAAGTCATAATCAACTTACAGTAGATTGTGAATCAAGGCAACCAAATCCCAAAACCCTCATTTTGTCTCTCTAATTCACGGCTCTCTCTCTACCCCCCTTGGACTCACGGCCGACCACCCCTAGTGGCGCGTGTGGTGGTTTGTGGTGGTTCGTGGTTGGTTCGTTGCTCGTTATTCTCCATAGAAGGTCAATTGAAGGGTTCAATTGCAACTAACTAGCATTAATGGAGGTATTAATCCGTGCCCGTAGACCAAGTAGAGGAATCACATTTGAGGTTCTTTGTCTCCCTTGTTCTTGCTCGATCATTCATGGAATCACGCTACAAAGGTATTAATTCTTATTCTTTATGTGTTATGCATGATCTTGGGATTAGGTGCTTTATGAATGTGATTCATGTTTTCCGCAATTGTACCTTTAAACTCCTACAAGCACCACCACGATCGGGCGGTAAACTGGGCAGTGTAGCGTCGACATCTCTAGCTTTTCCAAGATGCTGCTATATATTCACCATTGTTCGTTCTATTATCCTTTTACCAAGGTTATTGCTTTAATATTCTTACTTAATTAATTTACAACACCATGCATATTCTAAGTAAATTAATTAATTAACATGTATATTGTCTAAATTCTCAAAATTATTCAACAATCCTCCCCCATTTTGAGAATTAAACTAGACACATTGCAAAAACATCATCATCATAAAAACAATCTCATGCATAAATGAAAGTGTACAAAGACTTGAACTCTCACTTAGTGAAATACACATTTCAAGAATCCGTATCCATTCGGTGTCATATAACGATTGAACAAAAAGAAATACATATTGAATTCATGAAGATATTACATGCACAAGATAAATTACTTGATTACATTTATACTTGACACGTAAAGCCATGTGTCCCTACCTTTTCATAAGTACTTCAATATGCCCAAATAGCTTCTTGAAGCGGCTAAACTTCATACTTATATAGGTAGACTTCCAACATGCTCATGTGACAAAGCACTTAATCAGAAATTCTATTAAGTTTAAAACAACCTCTTTTCATCACAGTAAACCGTAACTTTACCTTGGATGATTAAACAAGTTCCCAATTACCAAGTAAGAAAGTTAATCTTATTGAACTTAAGACCTAACGTCTTATTGGGCGTTAAGTTAAGACTCCCTCATTGGTAATTAACTAGGGCTCCAATCCCATCCTTTTATTCTTATCTCTAGCCAATTCCGCCTTGGTGAAACAATCGGCTAGATTGAAATTTGTTCGAACATAATCAATAGTGATCACATTATTCTTGATAAGCCCTTGGATGTAGCTATGCCGCACTCCAATTTGCCTTGACTTACCATTATACACTTGGCTATATGCCTTAGCCAAAGTAGCATTATTATCGCAATGTATCACAATTGGCGATATTGGCTTTTGCAACAAAGGTATCTCATGCATTAAATCCCTTAACCATTCTGCTTCTTTACCAGCGGAATGTAATGCAATAAATTCTGATGTCATTGTAGAATCAGCAATGCAAGTTTGCTTCTTAGATACCCATGAAATGGCACCTCCCCAATATTCGACCCTGATAAACACACCGGGTATCACGAAATTACCAAGAGATACAACTAAGACAACCACAATAGTGTGTAGTCTATTTGTGGTCAAATGTAAAACAAAATGATGATGACAATTTTATTCTTGCAATTCAAGTTTTTCTTTCTTAAAAAGTTACTGACAACTATGTTCCCAAGAACATATTTATATTAAAAGCAAAGTAACCAACAGTCACGAGAAAACTGCTCAACAACGAAGAATACAACCGTCACAAATTTGAACAACCCAGACTCGCGCCCGATCGAGCGGTATGGAGTGATGATCTTCCAACACTCTCGCGCCCGATCGGGTGGTGGAGGCCCAATCGGGCATAAACCTAGCGAAATTCTAACTTAATCTCGCGCCCGATAAGGCGGAGGCTGCCCGATCGGGCGGCAGAACACATCACTGATTATACCCTCGCGCCCGATCGGGTGAGCACCACCACGATCGGGCGGTAAACTGGGCAGTGTAGCGTCGGCATATCTAGCTTCTCCAAACCAAGATGCTGCTATTTATTCACCATTGTTCTATTATCCTTTTACCAAGGTTATTGCTTTAATATTCTTACTTAATTAATTTACAACACCATATCCTAAGTAAATTAATTAATTAACATGTATATTGTCTAAATTCTCAAAATTATTCAACACTTTATTGTTTATATATTATTATCTATTGTATCTATGATAATCCTCTATTGATCTATGATATCCTCTATTGGTTCCATGATATATGATATCATCTCGCCTATAGATAATATCATTTGTTTGTTTAATGATATCCTATATTGATTTCATGATATCATGTACAGGTTTGATGATATCCTCTATTGGTTATATGATATCATCTACAAACTGGAATTGTTGTTTCAAGGCTTGACTCACCAAACTATTAGTGAGGCAAGTCTCGCGTAATACCTTCTTTTAAAGTAATGCCACATCACACTAATTTATGGATTATTTAGGAATATTTTAGGGAATAAATTTGGAAAATAATGATAATTTGATAAAAATTCAATTACTAAAAAACATAAATATGAATCTTATTTTAAATTCTCAAAAAAGTAAAAATATAATTTATGAACCGAGGGAACTAGTTTAACTCCCGTGCAATGCACGATTATTATTAAATCTTACAAAGAGTTATTATATTGAATTTTATAAAAAATTCAACTCATAATACTAATTCAAAAATAAATATAACTTTAAAATCATACCTAGGTATACCAATGTTGAGAATAGTAACACTTAGACTTGATTTTTTTTTTTAAAGGGGTCTATGAGGTTTTATTTTAAAAATTAAAGAACTAAGGATAGTATCCACGCATGTGCTTTATTATTGATACAACTTTAAGAGTAAAAAATAAAGTGTATATGTGTATGTTAACAAAATATTTTTATTTTTTTATTGAATAGAATATTATTGCAAAAGTAACAAAAATAGAAAAACTGAATAAATAAATAAAAAGTTGATAGTATTAACGATAACTAAGATAATATAGAGTAATATTGGTGTGTCTTTTTTTTTTTATTTTTTTTATTTTTACATATATAGAGGCGATAGAGTAGTATTGTTTAATAATATTATCATTCATTTTTTTTTACAAAAAAAAAAAAAAAGAAAAAAAACACCTTATATTATTTTTGGAAAAAAAAACCTTATATTAAATACTACATTTATGTAAAGAATATATTAGTTGGGTTTATATGGAGAATTATTATTGTTAATAATTTTAATGGGAAAAAAGATGTTTTGAGAATTATTATTATTTAAATCTTACAAAGAGTTGTTATATTGAATTTTATGAAAAATTATACTCATAATACTAATTCAAAAATAAAATATAACTTTAAAATCATACCTGGGTATACCAATGTTGAGAATAGTAACACTTAGACTTGATTTTATTTTTTTTAAAGGGGTCTATGAGGTTTTATTTTAAAAATTAAAGAACTCATGTGCTTTATTATTGATACGACTTTAAGAGTAAAAAATAAAGTGTATATGTGTGTGTTAACAAAATGTTTTTATTTTTTTTATTGAATTGAATATTATTTCAAAAGTAACAAAATTAGAAAAAATGAATAAATAAATAAAAAGTTGATAGTATTAACGATAATTAAGATAATATAGAGTAATATTGGTGTGTCTTTTTTTTTTTTTTTTTTTTTTACATATATAGAGGCGATAGAGTAGTATTGTTTAATAATATTATCATTCATTTTTTTTTACATAAAAAAAAGAAAAAAAAACCTTATATTATTTTTGAAAAAAAAACCTTATATTAAATACTACATTTATGTAAAGAATATATTAGTTGGGTTTATATGGAGAATTATTATTGTTAAGAATTTTAATGGGAAAAAAGATGTTTTGAGAATTATTATTATTAAATCTTACAAAGAGTTGTTATATTGAATTTTATAAAAAATTATACTCATAATACTAATTCAAAAATAAATATAACTTTAAAATCATATCTAGGTACACCAATGTTGAGAATAGTAACACTTAGACTTGATTTTTTTTTTTAAAGGGGTCTATGAGGTTTTATTTTAAAAAGTAAAGAACTAAGGATAGTATCCACGCATGTGCTTTATTATTGATACGACTTTAAGAGTAAAAAATAAAGTGTATATTTGTGTGTTAACAAAATGTTTTTATTTTTTTTATTGAATTGAATATTATTGCAAAAGTAACAAAATTAGAAAAAATGAATAAATAAATAAAAAGTTGATAGTATTAACGATAACTAAGATAATATAGAGTAATATTGGTGTGTCTTTTTTTTTAAACATATATAGAGGCGATAGAGTAGTATTGTTTAATAATATTATCATTCATTTTTTTTACAAAAAAAAAAAAATAAAAAGAAAAAAAAACCTTATATTATTTTTGAAAAAAAACCTTATATAAAATACTACATTTATGTAAAGAATATATTAGTTGGGTTTATATGGAGAATTATTATTGTTAAGAATTTTAATGGGAAAAAAGATGTTTTGGATTATTATAATTTACTTTCCTTAAAAAATCTGTGGGAAAACGAAAAGCAAAATGGGCGGGAAAATTACTAATAATATCGTGACAAGTGTTATTTTAGATTTGCTTTTAGTATAGGTTAATTGATTGATTGATTGATGATTGATTGATTGTTTGTTGATGATTGATGATATTGACTACTACTAATTTAAAACCTTGGCTGGGGAAGTGAGGTGATAAACCAAAATAATCGGTTACAACCGCCAAAAGTTCAAATATAAAGCGCCGTGTTATACCTCCTTCAACTGTTTCAAAACCATAAACCCTTATTTAAGTGTTACCAAACCAGAAACTCCTCATTTCCCTTGAATTTATCTATCTAGTCATCTAAAACCCAGACACCCTTGTTTCAATTCTCAATCAATCAATCAATCAATCACTTCATCTAAAACCTAATTTATCTACAATGCCAAGACGCATCTATACTTATGACTCCTACACAGACGACATGGAAGACGACGATGACGACGTTCACGAGGCTGATTTCTTCGTGACAGAGGACGAAGACGAAGACGAGGACGAGGATGAGGATGAGGATGATGGCGAAGCGGCAGCGGTGGAGGAGGAGGAAGTGGGAATGATTACTTGGCCGCCTCTTTCTGAAGCTTCGGCAGTGGGGTCTACGGTTTCAAGAATTGAGGAGAGGGAGAAGGAGATGGTGAGATTGGTTCCGGATTCGGAAGGTACGACGTCTACGAGTGGAGGATGTGGTGAAGGAGAGGATAGTCAGAAATTGGAGTGGAATAGAGAGGATGTTGAGGGTTTGTTTTGTCCTATTTGTATGGAGCCTTGGACTGCTACCGGCGAACATCAACCTAGGTCTTTCTCTTTCTTTCTCTTGGTTTTAATTGTTTTACAATTTGGGTTTTGTAATTTGATTGTGTTGAATTGTCTGGGTTTGTTGAATTTGATGTTTGATTGTTTATTTATTTATTTTTATTGTCCTGGTGTCATTGTTGGTATGATCTTTCGGCTTTTTCGTTCAATGAAGTGTGTGTAAATTTGAAGAGTTGTAGATAATGTTGTTTGCCATACATTAATAATTTGGTATTTAGGCCCTTTAGAATAGTTGATTATTGACAATTTTGTACATTAGAGATAGCTTCCTAGTTCTAAGGTTGTACTTATTAGACCGCTTAACATCGTCCATTGGAGAGCTTCTTTTAGAGGTATTGGATAATTGTTGATGATGTACATTATTGATGAACTAATTAGGATTCGTTAAATTGTTAAATTTTGTGTTGAATTATCTCTACATTAGGAATAGCCTAAAGTTTATACAGATGTGGAAAGTAAAAATTTTATGCTATGATGATCCAATAATAGTTTGGCTTCATTAAAGTGTTGATTTTCACATGTCCAAAATTTAAATTTCTACTACTTAATTATATGGGAAAATTACAATTTGGATAGTGACAATAGTGATATATGGAATTTGTTTTTGGCACCTTTTGGATATGTTGCCTTGCCTGTAAGTAATTTAGATTGTTAGTGTCTGTTCAACAATACAATTATTTATTAAATCAACGATGTGATTAATTTTGTATTGTTGTAACTAATATGTATATGGAACACGAGTTGTTTATAATTGGGGAGGTAGGGAAACCCCGATTGCCCTTCTATCTTGTAAAATCTAGGGTAGTCAGTGCCCAATTGTAGGAAAACTAACCTTGGTTGTGAATTATGATGGCGGAACTCATGGAGGGTGATAATGTTGCCAGCTCAATTGGCTTGGTCTGGCTAATCGTCTTATCTGCGTTTAACTGTGTTCAGACTATGTTTACTGTCCACGTTTTCTTTGGTAAGCTATTTATAACTACTAAAAGGTAAAATTGATATCATGATTTACACTGAGAATGTAGCTTAAATATTTTACATTCATGTGCAACTTCATGCTTGGAATGACGGGTTTGACTTGCCACAAGCCCTCTGCTTCAGAATGATCATTGAGTTTTAGGAGTTATCCTCCTCAGGGAACCTGTAAAGTATTATGAGCCCTCGAGTTGGCAGGAAGAATTGTTTCAACTTTCAAGAGGAATCCTGTATAATTATTGCTTCCAGAAGCAATGATCGACCCTTGTGACTGTGCATTTTACTAAACTACTAAGCAAGAGTAATTAAGTTTATGTGAAAGGATCTCTTCAAGTTTTTTCCCGTTCTTTTTGTGACAGTTATGAATACCCTTGTTTGAAGTCAGACAACTTTATGGCTAGTCTATAAAGAATTCATCATCCATCATACACTAGGGTGTCTCTCCAATTCTATACGAATGTTATGTAAATGTGTGTGCGTGCTTGCCTTTTGGTATGATGTAGCATCACCTGCTTGGTTGTAACTGATGGTTCATATGGATATAAGGAATGCAGTTGTCTTACTTGTGGCCATTTATTCGGAATGTCTTGCATCAAAAAGTGGCTTGGACAACGGAAAAACTCTGGAAAGGTACGTAGTTGATAAAGATGGGATATTCTAAAACTTAAACACAAGTCTTATAAATTAGCAAAAAGATAAAATAACGATGGTGCTTCCTTTTTGAACTTTGTTATCTTCCTTGTCTTTATAGTGTCCACAATGCAACAAGAAGTGTACATTGAAGGATGTTCGGAGGATTTATGGATCACGGGTTGTTGTAGTTGACGAAGAATCACAAAAGGTATTTTAAGACAATTTGTTATGTACTATTATTGGATCTTCTTAAGAAGTTTCCTGAAACACTGTGCCTTTTTTGTTTTTCCCTATAGTGTATACGATATCTTGAGGCTAAATGCGATTCTCTTAAGAAAAAGGTATGGATTTTCACTTTGGGTTTACTGATTGCATGGCATGTCTCATGTGTCTCTTTATCACTAGCTTTTCATTACCATGTATGACTTGGTGTTCATTGTTTTGTTGTCATATTTTTGACCTATTTCTTTCTTACTTGCATCTCAAAAATGCAGTAGCTTGTTCCTTCGGTTTGGTCAAGGCAAGTTTAAAGATGATATTATTGCTGTTTTTTGTCTGTTAGACTTAGAGATTGTTACCCTAATTTATGAATAAAATTCAATACCCCAACCTCTCGTGTATGAATATAGCATAGTTAGCAAATATGGGTCTAACCCACAAGGATGATGATGGTAAGTTGATTTCCATGTAGGCCTTGTTCTCTCACCTTTTTTTTTTTTTTTTTTTGGTTGTTTTTGTTGAAATTATACTGAACTGAAATCAATACAATTGAGAAATTGACTATTAAAATAAAACAAGCAAGTTAATTAAAGTAGAGTAATAGCAGGATTAAGATAAATTCTAATACTATGCTGAAATGCATGATCTTAGATACTAAGATGAGATAAGCTTACTAGCATGATAAGCATTAAAACATGACATAGAGTCATAGACAAAATCGTACCTAACAATCTTAAAACAATAGAAAGAAAACCATTGCATACCTAATGTACTATTAGATTCGTATAAAAAATGTAAGAAAATGAGAGCATAAAAGTAAGAATTCATCATATAGTACCTGGAGCATCTAACAACAATAGCAAGTATTTTAGATCCACTTAGATTGATATAAATTACTCCCTCTTTCCCTTAATGATAGTCCCTTATACGCAATTTTCATGGGAATTAATAAACATAAATAAGTAAAAGGAAAATTTTCCATAAATAATACAACCTTAGGCCCGTTTTTTTTAATAATACACCTTTGGATTATACCTGAATAGTACAACCTTTAAGAGGTGTTAATTTTGAATAAGACAAAAAACTTGTAAGCTGTTAAATCGGTTGCACATGACACGTGTCGTCAGTTAATTGATCTAAATTTCTATTTTTTTTTTTAAATTTAGATTTTTAATTTTTGAAAAAAATTGTATAACATTTAATTAATTAATTCCTATTTAAAACAGTAATCATGATTTAGTATTGTTTAGCAAATTATAAAAAAAAAACACCCATCCCCCTCCCTACCTCCCAGCCACCACTACTTCCACCACCAAGCCACGTCCTATCCCCCCTCCCTCACACGCAACAACTCCCCAGCAACGCTATTGCCGGCGCCCAGCTTCCCCACCGCCGGCCGACCCACCCTCTCCTCTTTCCCCCTTACTTCGACCTCCCTCTTCCCCTGTCGCACCACCATACCAGGGCAAACCTTAACCATAGCAGGCGCAAAATCGTTTTTTGGCGTAAGTTGTTGCTACCCTGAGTCAACTTAGGCGTCAAAAGCAGTAGGGAAGCTCAAACATGTGCGCCGACCCTAAGGGGATAGGGTTGTCGGGGTAAGGGGAAAAGACAGTCGGGGTAACGGGAAAGAGAGAGTGTTGGGTCGGTTGGCGGTAAGGGAGCTGGGCGCCGGCCGCACGGTCGCCGGAGAAATTGCTTTGCGTGGGGGAGAGGTGAGTGGAGGTGGGTGGCTTGGTTGTGGTGGATTAGGGGGGGAGACGAGGAGGGACGATTGAGGGTTGGGGAAAGGCAGCCAAAGTAAGCGGGAGGGGCAGCGGGAGCGGCGCCGCCGGAAGTAGAGGGGGAGAGGGGACTACGGGAGGGAAGTGGCTGGGCTCGTGGTTGGGTAGAGGAGGGATGTTTTATAATTAAAATTAATTTTTATTTTTTATGAAACATAAAAAATATTAATTGAATTAAAAATAATTCATTTAAATTTAACACCCACTTGATGGTTTATAGTAATTAAGGTTACGGAAATGAAAATGTTAAGAGTATGAGGCTACCAAAGATAATTCATATACGAAGTGGCTACCATTGGAAATACGCAAAAGTACGAGGTTACCAATGAGAATTTCCCAAAAAAATATTAATTAATTGACCAAACCAATTAAATGACGACACATGTCACGACAATCTGTATCTGTAGAAACAGGTTACCAAACGGTTATATTTTGTTTAAAATTAACACCCCCTAAAGGTTGTAATATTCAGGTATAATTCAAAGGTTGAATTATTTAAAAAAAAAAGGCCAAAGGTTATATTATTTATGGCAATTTTTCCTTAAGTAAATTTACATGGGAAAGTTAAATTTGCACAAATATTGTTGCAAAATGGAATAGAACTATTATTTTGGGACTTAAAATTTGCCATAAGGAACTATCAATAAGCGACGGAGGGAGTATAAAATTTGAAGTCTAAATTATAAAATTATAGTGTGATTGTGTTGCAAGAGTTGTCCGTGTTTGCCTCATAGATAGGGGTGATTTTATATCCTGAAAATAGTAGGGTAGAATGGACAAAGGATTAAAAAAGATACTTAAGATTAGTTTAATCTCTTGGATCTTCAGAGATTCTGATATTATTGGAATGAAAAATCTGGTTAGAGATTCTGATATTATTGGAATGAAAATCTCGTTTGATTTTCTATGAGGCAGTAGAAGGAGTTGATGTGAAGAGATAAGGTTGAATCAATGAATTCTTTTGCTTGGTTAATCTTTTTGACTTGTGTATGTTGTGTGGAATTGAAATTTTATTATTTTTGTTAACCTTTGTAGTACTGGTTTTAAAAGAATAGGTGGCCGAGGTGAGTAGTACACTTGGACTTTAGGGTATGTATCCCCAGGCGTGAGATCTCCATATATCACAAACCAAACTCATAAATAAAGATCTAACTATTGTGTACCCCGGGCGATGCACCAGGTTTTACTTTGAATATCAACAAATATTATTTAACCTATAAAATATAAACTACATAATAAGAATAAAATGAAAAATAATAACTACGAAACTAAATAAGTGCTCTCAAATTGGTGCTTAATACAAAGTATTTAGTATATTTAATTGCATATGAAAAACAATTAAACGATCGCAAAGATGGTTAGAACATTAGATTAATTCGTATTGGTCTTGTGTTCAAACCTTGTAATAAGCATTTTTATTGTTGTGGCATATATCTAATACATGTGAAGGGTTTCATGTGGCACATATTTCGTTTTAGGAACGTGATGGGCGTTAGAACGGTCGCACATTCCACACTCAATCAAATAAATTTATAAATCCTAAAACTAACCCCTAAACAAGTCTAGTGGTAAGTTCGGAGTCGAACCACAAGGAACGGTAATGCTAGATTGTTCTTAATCTAATGCCTAAACTATGCCGAAGTCGATTTACGGATAAAGGACACTACAACTACACTAAAACACATATAAAGAACAAGGTATGATAAAGTCTACTAGGGGAAAAGATCCACTTAGAACAATTAATAAGCTAATGAGAATCCATTTGATAATCAATCATGCAAAGAAAGAATTATAATGAGAATTAACTACACTCAAAAGTAATCTCTCAAATTCCTAGCCTAGATCCCTCATTGACTAGGTGCATAGAAGAAAATTACCAAAATGCAATCAAATATATCAATTCTAATTCACAATCCCTTGTCAAACTAAAACCAATATGCAATTAAGTGTGCTATCATTGGAGATCAATCCAATCTAAAACAAACAACATGCCAACATCAATTCAATCAATTTAATCACACAATTATCATCAAATTTATCTCAAATAACTCAAATAATCATTACAAAGCCTCACTCAACACCTAGTAGAAGGGAAACTACTCAAGCATAATGAAAGCAACTAAATAAAGCAATAAGAGAAGAGAAAGTAAGAAATGCTCATTGATATAAGGTGGAGATCTTCAAATTCCTCATTTGATTATCCAAAATCCATGAAAACCATTGTGCTCCTCACTTTCTCTCTCTAAAATTTTGAGAGTTTCTCTCTCTAAAACCTAAAACTAACCTAAAATCTATTCTAAACTGAAAAAAAATCTCTTTCTTTAATGAGCAAAAAAAATCTATTTATACCCCTTACAAAATTGCTTAGGAAGCTCCGCAAAAAGTCAGCTGAAACGGGAAAAGGTCCGACCGAACTCTGTGTAGGTTCGGTCGGACTCAGGGTAGGTTCGGCCGAACTCAGGGTAGGTTTGGTCGAACCTCCCTGATCCTTGTTTGGTCGAACTTTCCTGGTTCGACCCCTCCTGTAAACATGCTGAAAACTTGGTTGAAACTGCCTTGGAGGTTCGGTCGAACTTTTCAAAAGTTTGACCACACCTTGGTTCGACCGAACCTCTTAGAGGTTCGGCCACACCTCCTCTTGAACTTCCTCTTCTTGCTTCCTCTCCTTCCCTTTTGCTCCTCTTGTCTTTGTCCATGCCTCCATACTTGGCCAAGGGGCCTCCTACCGTGCTTAGGACCGCCATGGAACCTGCAAAAGGTAGCAAAGATCACGAGAGCATGGGGATGATAAAATTATGCATAAAGATTATCAAAACAAGCGCAAATAAGCATACTTTTCATCCATAAAAAAAAGGAAGCCATAAGAGGAGAAAAGAGGTAGAAAAACCTAAGAAAAACAGGAGAAAAAAGACCAATACACTACCCCTAAGGGTAACATAAATGTCACTCATCAAACACCCCAAGCTTAACTTTTGCTCATCCTCGAGCAAAACAAAACAAACACAACGGAAAACGATGTATATTTTTTTTTAAAAAAACAATAAAATAAAATAAAACTAGAAGAGAAAGAATATACACTAACTCACTTTCGTAGGAATCACGAATGCATTTAGCGCATGCATCAAGCACTTTAAACCCCATAGATCGCTCTAGAAGACGAGTATGCTCTCGTAAGGGTATCCTAAGAGTTTAACCCATAACTCTTGACAAAAATCAAGGCAAAGCAATAAACAAATAGATAAAATAAATTGAAGTAAAAGAGAGGTTACAAGCGTTCTTAAGTGGATTTTTACAATGGAACAAGCACTAAAGAATGTTAATCTTTCTAAAAAAAATAA